CCACGGTCCTCTATATGCAGGCAGTAACTTYTGCGAGATGTTTTCTTCCGGAGCAAACTCTTTTGCTTTGACCCAGACTAAGTCGCCCACTTGAAACTGCGATGGGCGTCGGTGCTTGTTAGCCTGTTCTATCATTCTGTGTTGGGCCTTCCGTAGGTTCTCAACAACAGTGGCTAACTCCTTTTCGTGCTGTATCGCGAACTCCCTGGTACCGCGCGGTAATCTGTGAATCTGATCCCGGTTCAGTCCTTCGAACGGTCTGCGCGGTCTAAAGGATTTGTGCAACTCATTGGGAGTGCGGCAGGTGGATAGATGCACGATGTTGTTGTACGCACTAGCGACCTTGGGCAACATCTCATCCCAATTGATCTGATCTGGTCTAATATACATGCGCAGAAGTTGCTGTAGGATCTTGTTCATCTGTTCTGTCTGACCGTTAGTCTCTGGGTGACAGCCGGACGACATTAACAACTTAGATCCGTARACTCTCATGAGTTCTTGCCAGTTCTGGCTGGTGAAACGACTATCTCCATCACTAACTATTGACAATGGGATTCCATTCTCGCTAACCCAAAAGTCAAAGAACTTCTGTATTACTAAATTTGTACGTGCCTCTGCAGGCAARGGAACAAAAACTGCATACTTACTAAAGCGGTCGACTATGACCATGACTTGGCTCTTACCATGTCTGCTCTTGACTTGCGTGTCCATGAAGTCTATGGATACTGAGTCTCCCGGTTGATCCGGAATAGGCAAGGGTCTGAGAAGACCTAGGGGCGCGCGTGTAGTAGATTTGTTTCGCTGGCATACTTTACAGCTGCGGACATACTCTATGCAGTCGTTCTTCATCCCTGGCCATGTGTACGCACGCATCAGATTGGCTAACGTCTTTTGCCAACCGAAGTGTCCCTCAGTATCGTGACATTCCCCTAGAATTAGACTTCGAATCTCTTCGCTATTGGGAACGCACAGGCGGTCAAACACATTAGTCTTCTCAAACAGCAACCCGTCTGTAGTGCGGTAATCTGGTTCGGTCTCTGGGGCCTCTCTAACTCTCTTTAGGTGGTCGCTATAGATAGGGTCCTGCGTATACGCTTGTTTCACTTACTCCTGCAAGTCTCTCCCTATATCCAGATAATGTACTACGGCTCCAAAGTAGTCTCATCTCCTACTTAGAGCATCCGCCACTACATTGTACTTGCCCTTCATTGGCTTGAGCTCAAAGTCGAATTGGTCTATCTCTGCGGCCCACCTRGTCAACTTAGGTRTCATCTTGGCCTGGGTCTTCAACCATCTAAGTGTTTCATGGTCCGAGTAGACTTTGAAGTGCCTCCCAAGAAGGTAGTGCTTCCAATGGTCTAAAGTCTGCCTGAGGGCATAGAGTTCTCCTTTGTACGTGGAGGTAGCGACTTTCTCACAAGGCACCCTTGCGAACATGAACTCTACGGGTCTATAGCCATTGCCGTCGTCTTGCTGCAACACGGCGCCTATCCCATACTGACTCGCGTCCGTCGTGACGACAAATGGCAAGGACGGGTCTGCAACCTTGAGGACATGATACTCTATTAACGCGCGCTTTAACTTTTTGAGCGCAGACGTACAGTCTTTATCCCATTGCCAGATTGTCTCTTTCTTCAACAACCTGCGCAAGGGAGCGGCGATAGTGGAGAAGTTCCTCACGAACTTCCTGTAGTAGTTAGCTAAGCCTAGGAACGACCGCAACTCTGTCAATGTGCGGGGCGTCGGCCAATCTCTGATCGCCGCGATCTTGCTG